TAGAAGAATCTATTGAGAAAAAGAAGAAAGTTTGCAAACTGCTAATGGGGGAAAAGAAAATCGCGACCACTTCCACGGATGTATTACCAAGTACATCATCGTTCGCATTTACTCCACCTCATCAGAAAGTAAATTTACCTGCCAATGGAGGAGTCGTTTCGATTGCAGATGCAAGTTTTCAAAATGCACAAAATTGTTCATTTCATTTTTATTTTTCCAAATAACTTAGCTTTTGATATTGTTAGTATTTAATAATTTAAAAATCAAATACAATGGAATAAGAAACCATCTATATATTTTAAAAATCATTATCGCAAACTTACCTTAGTAAGTAAATAAGTTTCATCACTAGCCGTGGCCAAAAAATCACCGATCTCTTTTATGGACAAAACCTTAGACTTTTTAGGCTCGTAACCAACCGAATTCCTCTTCAAAAAAGCAATAAGTTTTGGAAATTTGTCAATATAATATCTTCTTTAACACTTAACACTGCTCTCAGCATGGAATATTTCGACCAAATTGACGATGGTTTGAATGTTTGTGACTGTAATTTAAGAATATTTTAATTTAAAAGCCTCTTTTAAATAGGTACCTAGGTACTTACTTTAAACAAATAACTTAGCTTTTGATATTGTTAGTATTTAATAATTTAATTATAAATATATGTATAATTTTATGTGATTTTGTGACAAATTTCGAATGACAAAATAAAACAACCAAATAACGAATTTAGACATTTTAGTCCATAAAGGTTGCCATGACGACCTTTACGGCCTAGGCCGAAAAAGAAACATTTTACGGACTGAAATGAGTCCGTAAAATAGCTGTTTTTGGGAGCGTATGACAAAAATAAAAAAAAATATATATTTTTCAACCTGCCATAAAAAAATTGGCGCCGGGAGGCACGTATAGCCGCCCATACTAAAATATGTTAGTAAAAAGTTGGTAGGCAGTTCTTTTAGTTTCAAAGTAAAGGAATATTTCCAATTTTTTTACGTCAAAAACTGCGACTTTGACTGCTTTTGATGTTATTACAAATTTTGTTGCAAATATTATTCCTAATCTTAAACTGAAAACCGCGTTTCACTAGCTACTGTAATTTTGGAGTTACGATTGTTTAAAAATTTTAACTCCCTCCCGTACCCCCTTACCAACCCCCCACCCCCACCAAAAACTAATGACCAGATTCTCGGGTGCCACAGTAATTTTGTGCCAAATTTGGTTAAAATCGGTTTAGCGGTTTTTGAGTTATCGTGTTACAGACGGACAGACAAACAGACAGACACCATGAAAATATGTTGTATTTAGGTCTATTTTAGGTATTTAAGTTATTTTGTATTAGTTTGAGTGAAATTAAAAAAACTTTTTTTTTTGCCGATCTTCTTAATAGCCTACCATACCCTGTTGGTATGGTCACAGATTATACAGATTATAATCTTTGTTTTCTCTTTATTGTTTTTCGTTGTTCCAATTTTCGGAATCGGGCACTAGTTAGGTGACTAGTTTGCGCACATAGAGGACGCCCACTTATGACCTCTAAAATTGTGCACAGCGCCTGACCGGCACAATTATTAGAGAGATATCGGAAAACCGAATAGCATCATCCAGTATTTACGCGTACTTTATCATGGTTACGATATGCGCGAGTCAATTTTTAACGCAACACCCGCTAATAACGTTACCGCCTGACGTAATTTGCGGATCAATTACACCAAGCGCTCTTTCTAAATAACCTCTGATAACGTTTAAAAATTGCTTAAACGGGCATGTGCGGGTATTTGACAACCGGAGCCGGCCGGCGCGGCGATATATTTTGTTTTAGGTTATGTTTGAATTGATTTGAATTATTGCTTTAGTTTTATTAGGTAATTTGATATTTAAGTAGCTGGGATTAGTTTTAATTAAATAAATATGGCCCAAAATATGGATTCCACCTCTTCCAATACTATAAAGAGTCTTAGGTTTACAGCAGATGACGACTTAGCCCTTCTAAGAGAATTTGTTGCTTGTTGCCCTAAACCCACTGGCAGACGTTGAACAATAAAGCACTGGAAATAAGCACTTTAGCACTTTAGTTTTAAAATACCTAGTAAACAAAACAATTTCAAAGTTTTAAATTCAAAGTTTAAAAAAGCGGACACGACGCGATCAGAATTCTTTCCGATCCGATAACTATAAATGAAGAGAGTTAATACCATCTCACGTAAAGGAAATAACACCTGGCCTTATTAACGTCCATGCACGCTATTCACTTTAGCGATATCTCTCTATTACGCTGTTTATTGTTATTTTACGCGAGTTTATTTTTGAGCACAGGAAATTTGACTCGTTTGCATATCGTCATAAAAAACAATTTTCGTACCACGAATTAGGGACAAGATTTTTATCTGTATACTTATAGGATACCTAATCTGTGGTATGGTCGGCTAAAAATTATTACAAATAGACGAACTATCCTGAAATCAAAATTGTATTAGGTAATTCTTTAGATGGTTTATACTTATATTGCTATAAATATCTTAATCTTAAATCATACAGGGTGTTCAAAATTCTACGTCAAGCTTTCTAAAATATAAAATAATTTTTCATTGTTTTTTTTAAATGGAACACGTTATATATATTATTTTTTTATTAGATGGAGGGTTAAAAAATGAACAATTTTTGTATTTAAAGCATTTTCAGTTTTTTTGTGGTTTCGCAGATACACGCAGTACTATTTCATATGGCCCTTTCAAAGGTAAAATTCGAGAGAAAAATCACTGGGATGGCTTTGATAAAAAATTAATGTGGAAAATGCCATATGAAATATAAAAAAGTGAATATCTGCGAAACCATTAAAAATTTTGAAATACTCTAAACACAGAAAATTTTCATTTTTTATTTCTCCATCTATTGAAAAAATAATATAATACAAGGTGTTCTATTAAAAAAAAAAACAGAGAAAAATTATTTTATATTTTAGAAAGTTTAACGTAGAATTTTGAACATCCTGTATGATTTACGCTTATCATATTTATAGCAAAGTAAGTACAAACCATCTAAAGTAAATACATAATATTGTTTTGATTTCAGGGCAGTTCTTATATTTTTAATATTTTTTTAAGAAAAGCTGAAAAATATACTTTTTTAATTTACTTATTAATATCACTGAAACTATTGAAACATATTTACCCATATCTTATAAAGTGGCCTGAACTGAAGTCAAAAATGCAATAATATATAGGGTATTCCATTAAAAAAAGTCATCTGGATCAACTCACACTTTTTTGAGCCATCCTATAGAAGTTAAAATATTTTCCTAAAATGCACATACTTTCGTTGTAAAACGATTACACTTAAACAAAATTCCCAAATTTTTTATTCTAGGAGCTACAGATGCCCGACGCACTATTGCCTGACCTTGTAGAATAGAAATTTAATGAAAAATAGTTGAAAAATAGCTTATTCAAATCTAGAAAAATTCAGAGGAAAGATTGACCTCATTCGGTCAATCGAACCGTATCACAAGATTGATAACGAAAATCTCTGACTTGACTTTACTGTACTATTAGGTCATACAAAATTAGCCGGGTCAGCTAGTTATAGTAAAGTATTATAAATCAAAAGATAAACACTGAAAAAAAAATCTCGCATCTACGTATATATTTATTATATTCAACAAAATGTCATTGAAGATAAGGTGTTTATGTTGATTTCAAGCATACATTTTAAGGTTGTATATTTTTTATAATTCCAAGTTTTGATATACTTTGAAGTTTGAAGCCACAAACCCGGAAGAACTTTGCGTGGAAATCTCTTTGTTTTTGAGTCAAGCCGGAAGAGATCGTTTTTCTCCCCTATTTCCATTTTCTTTGAAATAAATATGGACACCAATTCCGGTGCCTTCGAAACAATTATATTATTAGAAGTTGACTGGAAGAATTCAGTGAAATCAGATATTAAAATTAAATCCATGTATTTTTATGAACCCTTTTCTTAAAAGAAGAGACGGTTGATAGAATTTTGATGTATTGTAGGTATTATATCTATGATTATTGAATATACAGGGTGAGTTTTCTAGGATGTTCTCTATGGGTATCTCGGAAACTACTGGAGATAGAGAGTGGGTTAAATGGGGAAAGAATTGCAGTTTTGTGGGGTCATAAATATGCGCTTTTGAGATTTTTGAAAAAGTTCATGCCTTACTAAATATTAAAAAAAGAACTAATTTCGGCTATTTTAAAAATTGTCCCTAGTTGCATTATAATACATTTTACCCAAAAAGTTTTCAGATAAAATTTGTAGATAATCACCATATATTTTATACCAAAACCGACATTCCGCCGAACTGCTTAAGCGAATATTAAGTTTTGGGCTTAACGCAGTGACGTTTTAGAAAAAAAAATTGTGTGCGCATATTTGAACTTCTTAAAAAACTTCTTACTAAAAGCTATTAAGTTGGACGATTTGAAGGACATATTATAAAAAGTGTAATTTGAAATGTTGAAAAAGTAATAAATTAAAAACTAATAAATAATGATTTGATTCATTTTTATTAAATTTGTATTAAAATATCCGTGTGTCCGGAGGACTCTATTCAGGTAACTCTATCCACCTGCCGAGTTTGGTTCCAATCGACCTGTAATTAAGGAAAATCTTGATGATTTAGTCCATCCCTGTAGCCCGTCCCCATTTATGTCAAAATTCAACATTTTTCTTCAATATAAAAAATAGTGTTTTTTATTTCTTAGATTTTTGTTAGTGGCGAAAATACCTAGGGTTTTTTGAATGTCCATGCTATATTTATACTTTGACTATTAAATTGAGCCATTTGTTAATTTTATATACTCTAAATAAACTATTGTTTTTCCTCTATATACATTTATTACGTAACCGTTACTACAATATTTTATTTAAACCTCAAGGGGAAGCCAAAGATTGAAATCTGAGTATACACATTCCTTTTGAAGAATGCTACAAAATAATGTTTTATTTTGAAGTAAATTTGATGTTTGTTTTAGTTTAAATATGCCTGATGGAGATCCACTAGAAGATGAATCTGGTATGTTATATGGAGAATATTTGATGTTGGATAAAGTCCTGCAAGCACAGCGATTACTAAGCGAAAAACATAATCAAAAAGTACATGATGAACATCTTTTTATTATCACTCATCAAGGTAACAAAAATATATATTATTTATACATTTGTCATTCTCCATTTTATTATAATGTCATTCCCTAGCTATTTTTGACACTGTGTTTTTTTTACCATACGGAATTTACATAGTGAGTTGCGGCAAAATCCGTTCGACGTTGCGCTATTTTGAAGAAATAATACTGATTTATCATAAAGGTACGTTGAAAAGAGATGATCGTTATGACCTTTTTTAGTTGTCCAACTAATTTATAATTATGTTTGCTGTACTTGCAAATATATACGTTACATCAATTGCAAGAAATGTTGAACACATATACCTAGGCTTACGAGGCTTGGGGACTTAAACTGCACATCACAAGAATGCTATAAAAATCGGAGAAGAACTATTGGAATATGTAGTGGAATTCAATTACCTCGGCAGTTTGATTTCGAAAAAGACCAATATCGACTCTGAAATTCAGCACAGGATTAGCAGCGCCTCAAACGCATTCTGAAAATTAAAAGACAGAGTTTTCTATAATCATGACTTGAGCACAAAAAAGAAACTTGCAGTGTACAGAGCAATAATAATTCCTACCATGTTATATGGAAGCGAAAACAAGTTGCAACAGAGACATCTTAGACAACTCTTAAGAATTAAATGGTTCCATCAAGTCTCAAACGTATAGGTCCTTGAAAAAGCTAACTGCCAGAGCATTGAAGTCATGATTACAAAATTCTTAAGATGGGCTGGTCATAAAAAAACTTAAGATGGGCTTGTCACGTATACAGAATGCAAGAAAATCGCATACCAAAATCTCTGCTTTACGGTGAGCTTGTAGACGGTAAGAGGAAGCCGGGTGAACAATTCAAAAAGTACAAGGATATTTTCGACGAAAACTTAAAAAGATGATGATGAACGGAATGGAGAAGAATTGTAAACTCAGTTCACAGCGACAACCAAAAGGTAAAGTGGCAACAAAGCAATGAGATTTTTGAATGTCTGGAGTGCGGTAGACAGATAACATCACGTATCGGGCATTTCAGTCACAGAAAAGCTCACGAAAGAAAACGTCTTGCGTGACCACCATCTTCTGATGCGTGTCAAATACTCGTCAACTAGTAATGGCAGTATGTATGTATGTATACATACCTATATGTAATTACGTTTTAACTTGTCTGCGGTCACTGGAAGCACTCACTAAGTAAATGTTAATAATTTAAGTAAAATTGGTTTTATATTTGCCTAGTTACAAAAATGGCCAGCAAAACTGGAAGCACTCACTAAGTAAATGTTATAATTTAAGTAAAATTGGTTTTATTATTTGCCTAGTTACCAAAAAATGGCCAGCAAAAATATATTTCATCGTTATTTGAAGGCACTTTTATGCGAGAAAAAAACTGTAATGCCCGACTTCCATTTTCTATCTTACACAATAAATAACGATTCCATAGTTGGTTGAGAGTTTGTTGTGTCCTTCTCTCTTTTTTGTCTACTTCTTTTTATATTATTCGTAAATCTTTTTGAATGGTAGAAAATTTAATGTTTTTGAAAGGTTTTAAAAGCAGTTGTCAGAAAAAAATGCTGGAAAACTCGTTTAATAGTTTCAGTAAGTTAAACGAACGTTTTTCTAATATTACTAGGATTCAAGGATGCTAATCCAGCGACGAAACTTCTTGCATATTAAATAATCTAAAATATCTAAAGGCCACCACAGACGTTCAGTTTTTTCGTACAGGCCGCCTATGCAAATCTTATTTGCGTAGGCATATCGGCACGTGTGTGGTAACTTTTTACCAACTGTAAAGGCTGTAGGCCTGAGCTGAGAGAAATCAGACCCTGCTTGTATTAAGCCTGTGCAAACTATAAAAAAATGGAATACTGAAAAGTTTCTTTTCCAAAAGGGTATAGCCGGATTAATATAGGAAATTTGTCCCCGCGTTTTTTTTGACTCGCACTCAAGGAATCGATTTGGTGTCGAATCAAAATAATTTACCTAAATTTTTAGCTCTGTAACTCAAACGGTTTTCCAGGTTTTTAAAAAAATCTGTTTTTTTAATTTTTTTTTATTTCTACAATAACATTCAAAATTAATTAATGATGATTTTTTTTCTAATTCTTAGAAGACTAAGACATGAAAAAAATAATATGATCATGATTCATAAATGAAAATCCTATTTTTAGCGGAGGAAAGAAAATTCAAATCTTAATTTTTTTAACCTTTGTGAAATATGTGACTCGCTAAAAATCGTCAGAAAATGTCTTTTATAACTTATAATATTTTATACTTTACACACAGTAATTTTTAGGAATTTTTTAAAGTGGTGGAACAATATGAAAAAAAAATCATTTTTAATGAAAACATATTTTCTACGTACTTTTTTAAACTAAACAAAAATATAAGTTAGTTAAAACAGAAGGTTTTAAAAAAAAATGAGTTTTTAATTTTTTTCATACTGTTTAACCACTTCAAAAAATTCTAAAAAATTCCTGACTGTAAAGAAGTATAAAAGACATTTTCTGACCATTTTTAGTGAGTGAGATATTTGACGAAGGTTAAAAAAATGAATATTTTAATTTTCTTTCCTCCGCTAAAAATCGACTTCTCGTTTAAGAATGATGATCGTATTGTTTTTTCTTGTCTTAGACTTCCAAGAATTAGAAAGAAAATCATCTAGGTGAATTATTTTGAATCGACACCAAATCGATCCCTTGAGTGCGAGTCAAAAAAGCCACAGGGGCAGATTTCCTATATTAATCCGGATATACCCTTTAAATATATCTGAAAATGTACTGTATGGTCTTCGTTTATGAACTATATTAATTCTATTTTTAGCATACGAACTATGGTTTAAACAAATTATTTACGAATTGGACTCCGTAAGGGAGATATTCAGCGAAATTTTGGAAGAAACCGAAACTTTGGAAATATTGAAGAGGCTGAACCGAATTGTTTTAATATTGAAGGTAAATATAAACATTTTAACGATAGAAAAAAGAAATATAGTCAATGAAAACACTAAGCCCTGATGGTGAAATCTAGAACAAATAAATATGCTAATATTACAAACTCAATATATGTTTGAATTGAGTTTGCATAATATATTAATTTAAATATATTATTTCTACAAAATAACCCAGACATAAACACATTTATTTTAATAATATTTCGTTGTTTTTTCTAAAGCATGTATAAACTGGAAAAACCGATGGAAAACACTATATTGTTATGTCTATTTTTGTGTATTTCATTTTCTAAAACTTCATCGTTAAAAAAAATAACCCTATTAATTTTACAGCTTAGTCGTCAATAGATTTTTTAAAGGTATGCTGAATACATATGCCAAATTTGAACCATTTTCGACAAACCGATTTTAATCAATTGAAGGAAAACTGCATCTATTTTTTAATTAATCACCCGTAATAATTACCCGGTATATTGTATTCATATACAATACGATAGAACTAGAATAAAAGAAACGGAGAGTAGGGTTTGAAAATGAACATCGCGGTAATTTTATATAAGTATGTATATGAATTGTTATGTATTGGTATCCATCGGCCATTTCTATATCGTTGCCAATTGTCCTCTATTCCAGAGAACAATCTTCTTTTTGATCGCACTGCCATCTTTTATCTCACGTATTGGCTACACTATTTTTGAATTACTACACTACAACTATTTTTAAGAAAATAAGAAAGACTATCAACCCCATAACGTTTACATAACGATCGGATAAATTCTTGACAACATTTTAGCGAGGTTTCAACAAATGTTTCGCCTGTGTCGCTATTTTACCTTATCGTGATCTATTTTTAATTTTGAAACTTTGGTTTGGTCACCCTAAGCCCTATAGTATGAGAACTAGCAACGTCGGAAAAACAAGTATTTTAGAAAGCTGGCTCTTTAATATATCGTTTGCTATGCTCTCTGGAACAGCATGCGGCCCGTCTGGCTGCCGGTAAACGTTGCGTTTCCTACTGCGCAATGAAAGAAGATCCTATATTTTTATTAGTTCTTTAAATTCTAGTATTGAATATAAACCGATCGAGTGTCCATAGCTCAGCGCGTAGAGGTTCCGCCTATCCAATAAGGAGTCAGAGTTCGAGACCGGGTTAGGGCACAAACTTTTTTGTTTTATTTTCTTTTATATTCTGATAGTAAAGTATTAAATAATTCTAGTGATTCAAAAAAAATATATTTAATACTTTACTATCAGAATATAAACGAAAATAAAATAAAAAAGTTTTTTGCCCTGATCCGGTCTCGAACTCTGAATCCTCGGTTCGTAGTCGGCAACTCTACGCGCTGCGCTTTGGAGACTTATTCGACTTATATTCAATACTAAAATTTAACGGACTAAATAAAAAAATAGGATCTTCTTCCGATGCGCAGTAGTGAACGCAACTGGTATCGGCATACAGATTGGCCGCATGCTGTGCCAGAGAGCATAGTAAAAGATATATCAAAGAGCCAACTTTCTTAAAATACTTTCTCAAAAACGTTGCTAGCTCTTAGACTACTTCATTTCTAAGCTGCTTTAATATTCTTTTTTTCGTTCTACCATCTGTGGTTATACCATAATTTCTACACAAAACATAAATGAAAGTTAAATGATATGAGTAAATGTAATACTAATACAGTATGATTGAAAAAAAAACGGTGTCAAAGATGGCTGGGGAATGACAATCGATGATAATTCCGGCGAAGTTAAGCCCTAGAAGCCATTTACTTAAAATTGACATAAAACTAACATTAATACTAATTATAGAAAGATTAAACCAGGATAGAACGTTTTCAGGCAGACAAATATATTTGAAAACATTTATTTGAAAACATTATAAGAAATAAAGAAGAGTACGGGCCAAGTAATGACGTCTTGAGCTCGTCAAAATATCATCGACCCCGGCCGTCTTTGACGCTGTTTTTTTCGATCGTATGGTATAAAACTCGTGTTTATTTACTTGAATGAGTTTAATTGAAAACTCCTAGTGTGGGAGTTGCCAAAGTCATAAAACTAATTGTAATTCCATGTTTGATGGTGATTTGTTGCGAATAAGTAATTTTGGCACAAATTAGTTTTATAACGGTTTTAGGCGGATGAAAATGGATTTCATTAAAAGTGATTGGTTAATGAAAATTACTTTGTTAATTTAAAAGTAATGTAAAAATTTGCGACTGGTATATCAAATTAAGATAGTATCGAGTTAAAATTTTCAAATAGAGAAAAAATGTGTCTAATCAGTTGCTTTTTCTACTTAGTTTGGAAATAGTAATTTTATTTTCACTTGTTCTGAAGGAAATCAAATAAATTTGTTATACTTTTTATTAGAATTCATCGATTCTTAAGGAGAAAAGTTATTTTTTAATATTGGCTGCAAAACTATACAATATTTCCCCGAATTGTCTTTACAAAGGAAACACTTTTTTATTATTGACATTTAGAGAAAATGCATTCTTTACAAACATTTTTGCTTGTTCTAAAATGGTTAATTTTTTTATACTTTTCCAAATTTCCATATCGGTTTAGAAAAAATTAAGAAAAACATGAAAATGTAGTTAAATTTTTTTCTTAAGCTTCATTCAGAAACTCGAAATTAGTAGAATTAGTGATTCAAATTAGCGTAAGTTTGTTCCTCTAATTTGAATGTAAGCATTGAGGACGTCAAAATTAGTGGTAGGAATTTTCAATTAGTAGAAAAAGTTAACAAACTTTTGACTTTTACTTCAAAATACTTCAAAATTTGTGAGTAATGCCATTTTGACATTTCATTGTCATCCGTCAAGAGAAAATGTGGTTAGAAGCCAAAAGTTTATTGTTTTATAAGCTAAATATTTAGCTTTCTCTATGGATACAACTGATTACTGCACGCTGTTGCTGGGATATTCTATTAATTTTAATTATTTTTTAGACATTGTGAAATGTGAATGATCGTAAACTAAAAAGTATAATTGAAATCACTAATTTATTCTACTAATTGCGAAGTTCTGAATGAAACTATGCGTTTCTATGATAATATAATTTAGTTTTCATTCTTTCATAGATAGTTATTGATATAATTTTAATTAACGTCATATTATTTGCTGTTTTAAAATGAAACACAAAATGTTTTTTTAAACGGCGTGGAAATTTGGAAAAGTATAAACGGGATTAATCAATTTACAACATGAAATAATTTTGATCGAGAATATTTTTCTCAAAAGGTCAATAATAAAAAAAATATATTTTAAAGACAATCCGGGGACATACTGTAGACAGTACTTAGGTGTTGCAAATCAGAGTTTAAAAGAGTGTTTTTTATGTCTTTAATGAAAATTTGCGTTTTTCGGGTTTCTTTTCTCAAAAGAAAAAAAAACGGAACCCTTACAGGATCACTTTTTTGTTTGTCTGTCTGTCTGCCAACACAATTTATCTCAAACGCGGATCTATCCAGTCGAAATTAAGACCCTATACTCAGGTCCACATTCTATATATATATACCGTATGATCGAAAAAAAATGGCGTCCAGTTGGCTTGAAAATGACGATCGATGATATTTCCCATATAATTTTACATATAAAATGACAGTGATCTTCATTTCATAGCCATCGCTGACGCCGTTTTTATTCGATCATACGGTATTTGTTTATAATAAAATTCACATTAACTCCCAATGGTCGTTTCATAAAAAAACATATTTTGATTACAAAAATACCTATTGGTCTTATATCGTGGTACAAAGAAAACAAGGTATGATTGATAGCGGTTCCAATTTCGTTCAGTTTGCGCATACCACCTGTGACGTCATATGCCATACAAAAAATATCCATATTGTTCAATTGCCACTAATAAAAAAGACCTAAAATAGGGAAGAATTAGGACATAACCCCAAAAGTTATATCAAATCATCGAGCTTGACATTTGAAGAATTATTTTCACATTTATTATGTGTCATCTGTTTGGCAATTTGAAATTGGCGCGCGGAGCTTGCCGACCAATGCAATGGTGCCGTTTATCACCACGTAGTGACCAACCTGCGCAATATCATACCTTGTATTCTTTGTATCATGGTCTAATATCCACAAAATATTGAGACAACCTGTATATCTGGATTTCCATTCTAGGTGTTAGTGGACCAAGTGATGATTCTGGAGACTATGACTCCGTTGGACTTTATGGACTTCCGTAATTATCTAAAACCAGCCTCGGGCTTCCAAAGTCTCCAGTTTAGATTGCTGGAAAACAAGTTGGGTGTCAAATCTGAAAACAGGGTGAAATACAACAAGGATTATACAAAAGTTTTCGGAAACGACGAGGTAAGATTTTTTTTGTTGTATTATTTATTTCAGTTTATAAGAATATCAAGAAGTTGGTTTCATATTTGTTTAGTTATTATTAAAGAGCTTATTAATTAAAGATTATTAAAGATTGAAACAGTTGGAAATAGTGCGTTAGAGGATTGTAGGATTGATGATTGATTCTGGCAATCTGAAATAAGTTATCGGCCAAAAAATTTAGCAATGGGCTCTTTCACAAAAAATAGAATACCCAGTACAAGGACAAAATCTGAAATAGAAGACTATTTTCAGTATATTTATCCAAATAAAAAAAGTTCCATGACATTGAATAATTTTTTTTATAGACCCTCAAAATTGCTTTAATTTGAAATAATTTTAAAGCGCCAATTGATGTCGTATGAAAAATACACCCAATCACATTGAAGAACTGTACTCGTGCGCCAGCCAACAACTGGTAACATTGCGATTTGATTTGACCAGCACCACCTCAACTCAAGGCCAATCAACATGATATGGGCAAGGCAAATATGGCGGCGAAGGCAGCGCATTATTAAATTGTTTACCTTTAACCTGAAAAGCCGGTAGTGGTTTCTCGTTCCGATTGCTTACCAGACATAATTAATTATCTCTAGTTTGTTGTGCTTCTGCAACACGTTTGTTTAGTTCTTAGTGTTCAGTGCATGGTGTGATCAGAAAATTGTGATAAAATAACACACAGTGTAATAAAAATCCAAATAGACATTCCACATAGAGAACTTCAAACTTTAGTGCTTGTCGTACTCCTCTATGATAAATTATTTTAAGATAAGGACTAGAAGTATTTATCAAGATATTACACCAGTAATGAGTAAAAAGCCTTCGCCGCCAGTCTGCATAGTACATTATAATGGTTACTTACAATAATCAAAAGATAGGTATTAAAGGGCTAACATTTTATTGTAGCATGCCTTTTACATGCTCTGTTCCAAATTGTCAGGGGAATTATAGAGAGGGTTCCAAGGTTTCTGCTTATATTTTCCTTTTTTTTATTCCCCAAAAATGAAGCTTCGTAAAAAATGGTTGACAGCTATTAAAAGAGATAATTTCACTCCTACTAGTAGTTCTAGGGTAAGAAGTGCATTAAATATGTCTCAAAAAGGCCAAAAGCCAAAGCCTCTGTTACCCTAGTGAGGATGTAGTAATGGCTACTGCTTACACTTACCTCACTATAAGTAAAATATTGGAAGAAGAATGAAGCTTTTTACATCAAAAAGATCACAGAAAGATATTGACAATATTGACATTTGAAAATATAAATGGCCTAGATGTAAGTCTTTTTTTAGGTCACAATTGCCCCTCACATACGTCAGAATTTATTATTAAATCCATCTTGTTCAGAATATCCAATATTTTATTGAAGAACTATGCAAAAAAAGAAATGACGTCTTTACCACAAAGACAATGCCCTATGTAAAGAGAGTAAAGAAAACTAAGCTAAGCGTAAGTTTTACTTACGAACCCCCAAAAAGGTATTTAGTTTTTTTTCTATATAAAATCTTGAAACACATATTATATTTTTTATTTATCCTCACGTAATGCTGCAAAACATAGAAAAATATTCCATATTTTTTGACCCAAGCCAGTGTAGTTTATAATTCGAAGAGCATTTACCAAGGATTTTACTAAGACAAGTAACTTCCAATACTGTCCATAATAGTATATATTTATCAAACGTTCAGTAAATTCTAAACTATGGTAGGTAAGTGTTTGCAATTGAATATTTAGTTTATATTGCTTTTTCTGTCATATATATTCTGGTTATTTCTTTTTCCGATGATTTTGAACACCCTATATATTCAAGTTTGAATATTTTAACACTACTGAGAAAGCAGACCTTTTAATAAAAATTAGCTAACTGATGTTTTCATAAAAGTAATAATACAAAAAATTCCATACTTATGTGGAGAACTTTAGACTCCCTGTATATTAAAAAATTAGTGAAATATTACGTAATCTAACCCGACATTTGTGTGAAAAATGTCTATTTGGAAATAAAACAGGTTTTAAAATACGCGCCAAATAAAGCACTTCTATCTCCGCCATATTGGAAAAGGTTGAATGGATATGGGTGGAGGTGGTGGTGGGTCAGCATGGTGGCCCGGTCGCGGCCGTGTTGCGGCTTGTCCCGGTCGCAAACTCCGAAATAGATCGAGACAAGCCTTGATTGGTTTGTTTTTTATTGTCATTGGAATTGTCTCGGAAAACGTTTAGGTCAGTTGTGTCAAAAATTTTTAAACACGCGTGTGTATTCTTCGCACTACTTCGCGAAGCAATCAAGGTCAACATTTTTTGATGGCTTCCATTGCTCTATAAAATTTGTTCTGGAAATGTTTTACAAAAATATTTGACAAAAAATCAGGGCACGCAGCACAAAGAAACCCTCTTTCTAAGATCATATTTATAATAATCTCTCAATAATTTAAGGCCTAATATAGGCTTGGTGCACTAAAAAGAAATTATTTTTCTTTTAAATTCCCAATTTTAATTTTTTTTCGCGAAAAAAAAACTAATAATTGTGTGTCTGGGATTGAAATATACTACCACTAAAAATATTTGCACTTATTTAAGACTCACCCTGTATAATTATAATTATTCTAAAAGGATTAGAAAGTATAATTTTGTGAAAATTCTAAAAATAAAGTCAGAATGTCTAACTTTTATTATAATTTATTATTCCAGCTAAAAAAACATTTTAGATGAGTTCAACGTTCAACTACGGTAGCGGTAATAGTTTTAATCACCGGTTGTGCTAGTGGGAGTCGTAATTGGGGCTACTTCGACTATAACGAAATTTCTTAAAGGTACATAATTATAATTTTAGAAGATTATTATTGCAAATTATATTTCATCCTGTCATAATATATGTCTATTTAATTTTTTGAATATGGAACAAGCACTTTGTTTACTCACTTCTTGTTTTGTCGAATGCTTCAATCCATCAATCCATTTTTCCTTTTGATCAAATCGGTGTAGAGAAACTATAAGCTATAAAATGTTGCTTCGAGCCCCCCTTAGGTACTGCTGGGCACCTCCCAGAGAAATCCTGAATTATGACTCTTGGCTACGTATTAATTTTTATTTGCTTGTGATGTAGTAAAAATGACGTTTTCTAGTTTTGTTTAGTTAATATTATTTTATTGTGTTCAAAAAATATATTAATTTTTATTTTTTTTTAGAAAATTTGTAGGTATTTAAGTAATCTACGGGAACACAGTTTGATAACCAAGTCTATGAAATTTATTGATAGAGAAATTCATGTAAAATTTTATTCAAAAAATGTGTCTTTTAAAATTATTTTTCATTTTTAAAAAACAACAGCTCTAGGCACCCCCTGGGATCAACCCCAGGCCCCCCCAGGATAAATTGCTAGTTACGCTAATGGTCAAGAATGAAATTAGTATGTATTATCTAACGTCAAAGTGTAACGTACTTACTGTAGATCAAAATGTCGGTAGGAATTTGGAAACAGACAACCGTTTAAAAAAAAATAAAACAACATGTTTTCTGACAACGAATATAGATTCTCGGGAATGAAGCTATAGTCTCTATATGTATTAGAAGAACCTAGTTCTGCACTAGACTTTGCGAATGATATGTATTCGAACAGCGAATTTTTATCACACTACATAAATTTTAAAATAAATCCTGCGTTTAACGGTCTAATGGATTTACACGAAATTAGTTCAAAAATCGGCACAACAATTAAATTGATGAATAGGTATTTTTATATAGTTATATAACATTTAAATTTTTTTTCGATTTATTATCTGTTATATCTGTTATAGAAATATTTAAAAAAAAGCTTTCTAGTACACAGTTTTATAACTTTTACAGTTATTTTTTGATTTATAATAAAGTTTCAGTAAAATTATTTTTTTTATTTGAATCGCATGATTAAAATTAAAAAAATCACTTGATTTAAATCATTTGATTTAAATCGTGCCAACCCTGACTGAAATGCACCAAGCCTATAATATTTTTCCAGGTTTTTTTTCCAGGATTATACGCTATACAGAAAATATAAAATAATCAAGAAATAATAAATAGAGGACATTAGTAAAGTAAATCTGCTATAAAAGGTTATTCATAATATTTATTATAAACATTTCTTCTGCCTTTAATAAACCTAAAGATATTTAGTACTTAACTTCCTCATTAATATTTTTGAGGTCACGATGAATTTATTCGAATCTTTGAGTTATTTATTTCATCTTCCATTTATTGGTTAGACTCCTTATTAGTAAAATGAGATTTTATTTTCATTCAAGATAAATTTATTATCCCGTTCAATATTTTACTAAACGCATTTTAGAGTTAAATCAGTTTTAGAGCGAATGCTATTTATGGCAACTAATCTTAAAAGTAAACGTCTTATTTCCTAGCTTAATGATGGGAAAAATTAATTTTCTGAAATATTGAAGGGCATTTCTTCGTTAAGCAATGTCTATTGAGAAAATTCCTAATTAAGAGAATGAAAATGCGTCGCTACAAGTTTAAAATTTAATAATTTGAAAATTTATGTTATTTCAGTGAAAATTGATTTCAATTTCTTGAACAGAAAAGATAAATATGTTTACAAGTTAATGTCAATATTAAAAAAATGCAATCATTAACTAAATAATAATAAATCTTGTTTCAATTTATTCTACAACAGTTATATTATAATTTCCATGCTGGACGCACACAGAAAGATGAAATTGTTTTAGTCAAAAACGTTTAAAATCGTTTGTGATTTTAAAGGTTGATTTACAAGTATTTAGTAGAGATGAGCGATATATTTGTACCGGTGACCATGTAAGTAACCGGTTATGCCAGCAACCTATTCCTCCGGCAAGCAGCGACGAGCGACCCTGGTCGCTGTTAGAAAGTCGCTGCGATGAACAGAAAACTATAGACGGTGACTACGGTAGGAGGTTCGTTCCCACAACATCAGAAAACTGTCGAAAATGTCCCTACTATGGTAAAGCGGCAATAAATAT